AATAATCCAAAGGTGGGATTATTAATAGTGAACCGGCTAATGGTGAGATTATTAGAATCAATTCTTCCTTTTGTGAATATTATCAGACAATTATGCCTCTTAATATGTTTATTTACTTAGTTGCCCTCATTACTGTGAATTTTTTTTTTTTTGAACTCTTAAAAATAGTATGTGAACATTTATATGCTAATATATTTGTTTACGCATTTTTCTTATTAATGATGTGACTAAATAAAAATCAACTTGTACTTCTTAAACTTGGTACAGCCATTTCCAAAAAAATCAAGTAATCAAGCATGGTTTAGTTTTGTGAAACGCTAAACATCGCCCGCAATTTACCATATAAAGCCCACAAATATGTTATGATTTGACCATTATGCCCTTTTTCTAAAATTGAAATAATCTCGGTGTAAAAAATGTGGAGCCGTACTGGCTCGCCGGGGGAGACCGGATGGCAGGCCGGAGATGCGGGGGACGCCGGAGGTACGTCGTCGTCGACGGAAAACGAGGTAAGTCACCGTTAAAATTCACGGTTTACCGTCGGAGTGGCTCCGGCGCCTAGGGTGGACGCCAAAACCGTAGCCTGGACATCCAAGCCGGACGCCAGAACCACCAGAGTGGCGTCCAGCCCAGACGCCCAGACCACCAGAGTGGCGTCCAGCCCAGACGCCCAGACCACCAGACTAGCGTCCTGGGCAGACGCCACGCCACTGGGTGAGGCGGCCCTGCCAGGCGCCAGTCCAGTGGCTGTGGCAGCCCTGGCAGACGCCACCTTTAATAATTAAATTTTTTTTTTCTTTTTTGATTTTGTTGTTGTTTTTTATTTAATTTTTTTGTAAAAAAAAAAATCGAAAATGATTTTTTAAAAAAATTCGAAATGGGTTTTTTGTAAATTAAATTTGAAAATTCGAAATAGGTTTTTTTTAAAATTAAATTTGAATTCGAAATGGTATATTTTTAAATTTAGTTTGAAAATTCGAATTGGGTTTTTATAAAAATTAAGTTTGATTATATATAATTATGTTTTTTTTTTGTGTTAATTATGTGGAAATATAGAAATTAAATGTATTATCCGTTAAATGTATTTATTGTAATATATAATTGATGCAGGAATATGGTGGAGACGGAAATGATTACAGTGGGATATTTGGACATGATGGTCCATTCGAAGAAGCTCAACAGGCGATTGATTGGGCAAAACAGGTTGCAATTGCAGCTGGATTTTGCTTGGTAGTAGCAACTCATAAATCTCAACGGGATGGTAGAATGGATCGCATTTTGAGATGTGATCGTTATCGCAAAAGAGAAGAAAGAGATTTTCGTACAGCCACTCGGTTTGACACAAAGCGGAAAGGTTGTGGGTGTGAGTTTAGAGTAAAGGTTCGACAACTACGGAGTCGTGACGGTTGGGAAGTGATAGGTTACTCTAAATGGGGGTATCACAACCATGAGATGATAGTATATGAAGAGGGTCATCGACAACTGAGCGGCTTAAGTCCTGCTGCGAAACTAGTTGTGAAAGAAATGAGTGATGCTCAAGTGAAGCCTGCTAAAATATTAGCATCTGTGTTAGAGAAATTTCCAGAAGACCATCCAAACCGAAGACACATCTACAACGTCAGACAGCAACTCAGGTTTGAACGGTCAGAGGGAAGGAACCCTATACAGCAGCTGCTACACCAGGCACAATCACGTGGTTACCTGTTCTGGTTTGATTCTGATGAAGATACAGCGGAGGTGACTCATCTTTTCCTTGTGCATCCTGATTGTGCTGATATGATCAAGTCTTGGCCATTTGTGATTTTGATCGACTCAACGTACAAGACAAACAAGTACAAGTTCCCTCTGGTTGAGATGGTTGGGATGGCTCCAACGAACCAGAACTTTCTGATTGGTCATGCAATCATCAGGGATGAGACGACTCCAAGTTATTATTGGGTTTTGGAGAAGATGAGAAACTACATCGGGCCTAATGTTCATCCAGCAGCCATCGTCAGCGACTGTGAGGGAGGTCTCTTTGCCCCCATAGCAGAGCTGTTTCCCGAATCGAACCACTTATTGTGCACATGGCACATCAACAACTGCGTGAAAGTGAAAGCCTACAACCTTTTCAAGAAGAATTTGAAAATGGCAGAGAGATTGGTGAATGGTAAGTGGCGGAAGATCCTACAGGCTACCAGAGAGGAAGCGTATCTTGCATTATCTTTTCCATCCACTGCATACAACAAAAAACAGAAGATGAAATACAATAACAACAAATAAAACTTAATTAAAAGACAACGATAAATATAATAAAAGACATACCGCTTCCGTGGCAGTAGGCGGTGGCACATAATCATCATCGCTGTGGTCGAGATCAGCGATCAACCTCGGGTGCGAATACCGGTTGAACCATTCCATGTAGTAATGGTCACACATGGGAGTAACCCCAGAGGGCGGCCGCTGCAACTCCGCTGTCCATAAGCGGGCCACCATCGGAAACTGGTCCCACGTCCCGGTCATGATATCCGGCCATTCCACGACGTACTCCCTCGACGATGCTGGTCGGACCGCCTTCATCGGGCACGCCGGGGGAGGAGGGACAACTTGGACAAATCCAAGCTGGCGAAGACAACGCTGGGGCATGTACGCCTCGACGATGTCACGATACTGAATGAGTCCCGTGTACAGGGTCCTGGGTACCCTAACACTAGGGTTCGGGCCGAAAGGCATCCAGTGCACCTGTACAATAACAACATATAAAATTTAATAACATGAATATAATATGTGCAAATAATAAAATGTAGACTCTATAAATAAACGTTACCTCTAAGGGGGACAGCCTATCCAGCAATAACCGTATCGATCGGAGGCGGTCAACGGACTTCTTCTCCGAGCGCGGACTCCACGCACAAGCACGCGGCATCCCCTCATCAATAGGAACTGGGTCACGATGTGGTCGCAATGCAGGAAAGTACTCGTATATCCAGGTCTGCAATAGAGTCAGACACCCAGTGATACCTGTCGCGTCAGCCCGACTCGCAAATCCTAGTTGGCGATACAAATATGCCAACGTAACCGATCCCCAGGAAAACTGGCCTACACTGTCGGGGTCACACACCTCTACGATGTCGCGTGGCCTGAGCTTGTTTCCGCCGCTCTTATCCGGAAACAAGGTACATCCGAGGAGTAGAAAAACATAAGCACTCAGCTGTGCGTCGGGCGTCCTACGTGCACTCGGGTACAAACACCGCTGCAACACGGATGCGATCTTCACACCTCCGTGTTCCCAAACACCTAGCGCCTCGGTGTACAGTGCAGCCCTGTCCACCGCCAACAACTCCGCCAGCGAATCTGCCTGATCCGCATCAGCCACAACACAAAGTCGTTTACCCTCAACACGAATCCCCAGAATGGCCTCGACGTCATGTAACATGATCGTCATCTCACCGAACGGAAGGTGGAAAGAGTTTGTATCCGGCTGCCATCGCTCAATGAAAGTCGTGATCAGCGTACTGTCAATCTTATCGTGCATGGTGGCAGGAACGTGCTTCACCCCAGTGCCCTCCAGTCGCTCGAACATCTTGCTCTCCGCTGGCCAGGCCTCAGCCCATGTACGCAAAAAGCTACAAGTCTTTTCCCGGGTATGACATTTCAACAACCCCGTAACTGAAGGCCTCTCCTGGTCCTCCCAAATACGGGCAGCTATGTGTCCTAGAAAGCTAGGAATCACACTCCCGTCAACAGGCCCACCGGGCACCTCACTCCTAACAACCCAAGAATCATTACCGGCCCTCGACCGTTTCCTGCTTGCCCCAGATACAGTGGACGCAGATGATGTGCCAGATCTACTAACAAATCTACCACCCCTACCCTTACGCACCTCCACCATATGCGTCTCGTACATGTCATCAACCCTCTGACTGAATGGACCGTAATCATCATACGGTCCACTGCCATCGTCCACATCCTCATCCTCATCTGCGCCCTCCTCCTCCTGGTCACCCTCCTCAGCATCATCATCGTCATCGTCATCCTCATCCCGACGGTGGATCCGTTCTCTACGAACTGAGGCCGAAATACCACGGGATCTGACATGTCTATGCCCCGACCTCTCCACTGAATAACTTCTACTAAGAAGCTCTATATTCTTCCCCCCACCATGACGACCCTACACAAAATTTTAAAATATATAAACATACAAAAATTTATACGATAAATAATCATCATCGCAAATCAAATAAACTAAAAACATACAAATAATTGTAAACAAAATATAAACGTAGAAAAAATACAACGAAATTGAAAAAATTTATAAAAATAAACAACAAAATATAAAAACAATTCAAAATTATATTACAAAAAAAAAAAAAATTAAAAAAAATTAAAAACAATTTTAAAAAAAAAAAAAATAATAAAAAAAAAAAAAAATGGGGGGGGCGCCCTGGCTGGACGCCCAGCCGGCGGTGGTGGCGCCAGATGCAGACGCCGCCACCAGTAGGCTGGCGCCTGGGCTGGACGCCACATCCACGGCTGCGGCGCCTAGAATAAACGCCACAACCGTGGCTGTGGCGTCCAGCCCAGGCGCCAACCAACTGGTGGCGGCGTCTGCATCTGGCGCCACCACCGCTGGCTGAGCGTCCAGCCAGGGCGCCCCACCGCGTTCACGGCGGTTTTCCCCTTATTTTTTTTTTAAACAAAATATACCTTTCCTCCTTGGGACATCCTTCCCTCCGCCGCCGCCGCCACTTCCTTGCCTTGCCGCCTCGACATTGCCGTTATTTTGAATTTTTTTTTTTAGAGAGGTTGAAAGAAGATGAGCAATGAGAGTGTGAGTGTTTTTTTTAAAGGTCAAGGGCAATTTTGGGAAACCAAGTGAATTTTATGGGCTTTATGTAGTAATTTGTGGGCGATGTTTAACAAATCCCTTAGTTTTATGCACCACAAAAAAGAAATAACACAACAATTTATTTTAAAAATGACACATTGGCACCCACACCATAATTAATTAATTAACCAAAAGTCCAAAACTTTGTTTTCTGATAATTACTTTATATTCCAACACACACTCACTCATTTCTCTCCACCATCTTCTCTCACTCTCTCATTTCCCCTCTTTCTCTCTCTACTGGTATCCTCTCTCTCTTACTCTTCTTCTTCAACCCTTTTCATTGAATCAATGTTTCTTCTCATTTTCTTTTGATTTTGATTGCATTGTTTCTTGTACTGTGTTCATCTGCTGTTTTTTCTTGATGAATTCTATGCGTTTTTTTTTACTACATTATTGACTTGTTTGTTAGACATTTTTTAGGGTTTAGATTGAATTTATATGTACTATAATGGTTGCTTTTTGTGTACAGGATCATGGATCTATGATGTTTTTTTGCATGCACATTTTCTACTTTTCACATTAATTATACCATTTCTTTTGTTTTTGCAGTCATGGGTACCTTTTTTTGTATTAATTACTTGTAGATTATTTTATTTTTATATTTGGGATTTTGGGTTGCTGCTTTTTTCCCTAATTTCGTCCAGTTTTCAACATGATTTGTAATTAACAACAAAGACATTTTGATTACTACAATAAATCTGGGGACTTGTGCTTTTATTTGGTACAGCTATATTGTAATTTGACAGGATTTCATCTAAGGAGTATAGCTACATTTGGTTTATATTGGTGTATGGGAGTCGCAAAGGATAGTGATGTACTGATGTTGACGAGATTTGATCTCAGGTTGCCACGATACTTTGACCAATTAAGCTAGTTGTCATGTGTAGAGTAGTTTTTGTTGATGTTATGGCTTTGATTTGATTGAAAGAGATGTTAGGTCCTTGTAGTTATAGCCGGGGAAATTTGGGCTAACAAGGTGAGAGGATAAAAAGGGTTTATCTTGAAGATTTTGAAATAGATGTCATTGATTTGCTCCCTTTTCTTTGTAGATAAAGGATGCATGGTTGTGGTTTGATGTTCTTTTGGTTGAAGATTTATGGATTCAAATCACTGTATTGTCCTTGTTATTATCATTTTCGCATTCCTTAATCGCTTTGACTTGTGATTTGGGTTGTCCTCTTTGCTTTTTTGACAAGATCCATCAGTCATTTGTGATTTATCAAATGTTCCATTGGCATTAATAAATGTTAATAATATACGAGTAGGTCTTCGGTTTAACTAGCTCTGTAGTTTGTTATATGATGCTCGATGTATTTCATACTTGTAAAAATACAGTCAGCAGATCTGAAATTGTTGTAGAGTTAAGCTGATTTTATTTTTCTACTGTAGTATTGAGGCAAAGAAAAATTTGTTTTTTCTTTTTACTGGTTTGGGGTAAATTATGCTCCTTTTTGAACTAAATGTTCTGTTTGTGTTGAGCTGCCATATGGCTCAGCTGTTTTATCTTCTACATTCCTACCATTTTGAATAACACATATTTTGCCAATGCGGGGTTTGTTATGAATTGGATTTCTACTGTATAGAGGACTTTCATAGCTGGCAAAATTTAGAGTTGTGTTTTATACTTTGAGGCCTTTCAGCAGTCTTGCGTATTCCTTATATGGTCTGTTTTGGGTGTCAATGTTTCTCATTTTTTAAGACCTTCTAAAGGTTAGAAAATAGATTTTTCATCCCTTCTCTTATGTTCACTTCTTAACATGACATTTTTCTTCACATGCACATCTATCCAAGAGGGAGGGGTGGTTCTTGAAATAGGAGCAAATTTGGAGTGTAATCTTTTTGTGGATCTTGCGCATATTGTTTTCACGTTTCAGTCTGTATATTTCCTTGGTGAAGTTTGCATTACTCTTCGGGTAAAAGATGTTTAATTAACGTAGTACCGGATAACTGGATAAGACATCCATATCCTGAACAAGTAGTTTTTACTGAATTTAGCTGTAAATGTTACACTATAGACTAAGCAAATGTTTTGTAGGAATTTTCTTTTTTAATCAGTAAGAGAACACTAGTCTTCCTATAATGTAATTTCTTTTTTGCCTTGGCTTTGTGGCCTCTTATCTGGAGCAGTGTTACTTATTTAGGCGTTTATTATCTGTTTTTAATAATTAGATCTAATTTCTTTGAATTGATAGTCATGCTACACAGGCCGTATGGGGAAGCTAAATGTTTGGCTAACATTTTTATTTGTATTATGTGCAGTTGAGAGGAGTACATCTTATTAAATATGTCCGAATTGGAGGTTCCCTTCCGCCCTAAGAGGAAGAAGACTTTGGTGGACTTCTTTGTCCAGTTCCGATGGATTGTTGTTATATTTGTTGTCCTTCCAATCTCTGCCACAATCTATTTTCTTCTATATCTCGGCGATGTTAGATCCGAGTGGAAATCCTACAAAACACGCCAAAAAGAACATGATGAAAATGTCAAGAAAGTTGTTAAACGTCTCAAACAGAGAAACGCAGCCAAGGATGGTCTGGTTTGTACAGCCAGGAAGCCATATATTGCTGTGGGAATGAGAAATGTGGATTACAAAAGGGCTCGCCACTTTGAGGTTGATCTTTCAGCTTTTAGGAACATTATTGATATTGACACAGAGAATATGATAGCCAAAGTTGAGCCTCTGGTCAATATGGGGCAGATTTCAAGAGCAACTGTACCATTGAATGTTTCTCTGGCAGTAGTTGCTGAGTTGGATGATCTAACTGTTGGTGGCCTTATTAATGGCTATGGGATCGAAGGAAGCTCCCATATTTATGGCCTATTTGCTGACACAGTCGTGGCTTATGAGTTAGTTCTGGCTGATGGACGGGTTGTCAGAGCCACCAAGGACAATGAGTTTTCCGAGCTTTTTTACGCTATTCCATGGTCTCAGGGTACTCTAGCATTGCTTGTTTCTGCTGAAATTAAGCTTATTCCAATAAAGGAGTACATGAGGCTGACATACACTCCTGTGAAAGGTAGTTTGAAAGATCTTGCCCAGGGTTATATTGATTCTTTTGCACCAAAAGATGGAGATCAAGACAATCCCGAAAAGGTCCCTGATTTTGTGGAAGGCATGATTTACAATCCTTCTGAAGGTGTGATGATGACAGGTAGATATGCTTCCAAAGAAGAGGCCAAGAAGAAGGGAAATGTGATCAATAGCTGTGGATGGTGGTTTAAACCCTGGTTCTATCAGCATGCTCAGACAGCCCTTGAACGAGGGGAGTTTGTGGAGTACATTCCTACCAGGGAATATTATCACCGACATACAAGATCTCTGTACTGGGAAGGAAAGCTTATCATTCCATTTGGTGATCAAGCGTGGTTCAGATTCCTTCTTGGATGGTTGATGCCACCAAAGGTTTCCCTTCTTAAAGCTACTCAAGGTGAAGCCATCAGAAACTATTACCATGAGAACCATGTGATTCAGGACATGCTTGTTCCTCTATACAAGGTTGGAGATGCTCTTGAATGGGTCCATCGTGAAATGGAGGTAAAGTCACTTTGCCCTTTTTCCATTGCTATTATTTTTATTCCTTTGTTTATCCTGGGGATTTTCAACACTTCTTTATAATCATCTGCTAACTGGAAATTTAATGCTGCTTCTCTGTAGGTTTACCCTCTTTGGCTCTGCCCACATCGTCTGTTTAGGCTGCCCGTCAAAACCATGATATATCCTGAACCAGGCTTCGAGCAGCACAAGAGACAGGGTGACACTTCATATGCTCAGATGTTCACTGATGTTGGTGTCTACTATGCACCAGGACCTATTCTGCGTGGTGAGGTGTTCGATGGTGCTGAGGCTGTCCGAAAGCTGGAGAAGTGGTTGATTGAAAACCATGGATTCCAGCCACAATACGCTGTCTCTGAGCTAAATGAGAAGGACTTCTGGAGGATGTTTGATGCCTCACTTTATGAGAAGGCAAGGAGGAAATATGGAGCAGTTGGAACCTTCATGAGTGTATACTACAAATCCAAGAAGGGACGTAAGAGCGAGAAGGAGGTGGCTGAGGCCGAGAAAGAGCAAGCTGAAGTTGAGACACCCGACGCTGAGGTTGAATAGTTGTATTATTTGGCACTAGCTGAAATTTATTCTGAGACACTTCGTAGTTGGATTTGTTGCTTAACTTTTCAGATGGGCAGAAACACTTGCTTTTCTCCCCCCTTGTTTAATTTTTGTAGCTTGCATGATTTGGCTGTATTGACTCTATTGTGCTGCTAACTGGCTAGATTTGTGTTTGAATCATACTTTCGACTGTTGGAAAAGAGTATACACAGCCACAGATGTTTGATTGTCCCCTTTTTCTTGTTCGACTGTTGGAAAAGAGCATACACAGCCACAGATGGGGGGCCTGGGGTGGGGTGGGGGGATAACTCAACCAATACCCTTAGCCTGTTACAATGTTGCATAAATCTTGAGAGTAAAAGGAGAATGTAAGAGAATTCCTTATTCCCGAGCACGGAAAGCAGGCAAGCATTTGTAGATGGTGGTGTTCTATTTCTACAATTATTGATGTACATAAATATAAAAAAAAATAAAAAAATGAACACTTTCATTTGAAATTGAATCACTCTCCTCACATAAAAGGTAAATTGACCAAAGTGAGCTTTATTAAGAAACTATGTTCCACAGTAGACGCGTGGCAAAACTATTAACCAAACTAAGCTTCCAGGTTGGCGTTTTCACCCTGGCTAATTTTTTAAAAAATTTCAGTCAGGGCAAAAACACCAGGGTTGGCGTTTTATCCTGACTGACATTTAAAAAAAATTTGGCCAAGATAAAAACGCCAACTTGGATGGCGTTTTACTGTTGCACTAAAAATGCCAACCAAGTTGGCGTTTTTGTATCGAGTATATTTCTAGTTCACTTCTGTTTTATCATTGTTCTTCAAAAAAACAAAAACCCCCAATTCCCAAACCCTAACCCCCACGCACAACACTTCGCCAATTCCTCCATATTTGAAGCAAATTCATCACTTCCCATTGCTTAGATCTTCATCACACTCACTAAAAATTGTTCCTCCTTTCTTTAACACTTTTACGCAGTAAATTGATCGAATTTGAGGTATGTATGTCATTTAACTATTTTACTTGTTTTTGCTGTTTTTTGGGAATTTATGTTTGTAATTCACAATGTATGTTCTATATTGTTGTTCAAGTATGCGATAAAAGTATAACTACATAATACATTGTTGTTTAATTATTGAAATTAAGTATATTTATATGTATGTTGTTTAATTTCAAATCAAGTATATGAAGCATACATTATTCTTCAAGTATGTAGGTTTCTTTTTGCTAAATATGTATATTTAGTGTGCAATTATGTAATTTAAGTATGTTTACAAACTACATTGTTGAATTAGGTACATTTAAATATATACTACATTGTTGATTAACTAGGTAAATAAGTACATTGTTGAGCACTACGTTGTATATACGCTTAGCTTGAGGATTTAATGGAATCATTGTGGTTTTAGTTGTGTTGTGTATTTGTGTGATCTAATATGTGTTTCGATTGTTATGTAGCACATGGCTTCACAATTGATTGTTTTGTTATGCCGTTGGGGGGGTGAAATTCTGTGTGTCGGATCGAACGTCGAGTATAGAGGAGGAAAAATGGAACCATTGGCATTAAAACCTTGTATGACTTACAATGATTTGTTGAAGAAGGTTTATACTATAACTAGTTCAAACCCAACGAATGTTGAATTGAACATTAAAATGAGGTTTGAGAGTGTCAGTGGGATTCAAATCTTACCTGTTTTGAATGATGACCATTTGGAGGTTTTGAGGGGTGTCGTTGCAATGAGGTCTCTTCCCACTGATTTGTATGTGGAAATGGCGCCTATATGTACTCAACAGACTATTCGATTGATAGAGCAACAACCTACATATCTTCCCTCATATAGTACAAGCTCGTTACAAATGCCCTCATACAACATTCCGTCATTTGAATATGGAATGGGATCTTTCAGTAGAATGTTACACGACGACCAATTTGACATTCCATTCAGTTCACATATTACTGCACCTATACATGAAGGGGCGTCGGTGTTAATGTTGTAGCAACCTAGTCCATCTACCTCAAACAATGACATTTCCTCACTGATGCAGTTGTATAGTTAATCTCCTACGCAAGAACATGTTCAAGTAACACCATCTCAAGCTTTGGTGACTGCTGAAAACTGTTGTAAACAACGAATTGTCTGTTCTTGATATGTATGAGGATACAAATGACGAGGGTGAGGGCGGAGATGAGGAAGATGTTATAAACAACGAATTGTCTGTTGATGATGATGTGGATAGAACTCCATTGCCTTGGTTCACTTAAATAAACGAGAACTATGAGGTGGACATGAATTGGACTGATTCGGGGAGCCGGACTTCGTTTGTTGTCGGGGGAGAATTTGAGAAGGGTATGATTTTCGACAGTAAGAAAGTGCTCCAAGAAATGGTGAAACTGTATTCCATACAACAGAATCAGTTCTACACCACGGTGTCATCGAATGAGAATGTTCTTCATCTTAAATGCAAAGAGGAAGTGTGGTTGGTCGCTACGTGGTACAAAAACAAATCTGAACACACATGCCTTTAAGATCGTATCTTACAAGGGTCCACATCGTGAGAACTGTGTGAATGAAGTTCCGCCCAACAATCACCGACACTTGGACTCCTCCATAATCTGTGACTATGTGAAGTCGTTTGTGCAGAAAGATCCATGTTTGAGAGTTGAATTCATACAAGATCTCATCTCCAACAAATTTCAATTCGATGTTCCCTATCGAAGAGCATGGTATGCCAAACAGAAAGCTATTGCGGAAATTTTTGGGGATTGGGAGAGTTCGTACAACATACTTCCTTTTTTCATGCAAGCCCTCCAAGAGTCAAATTCGGGAACCGTAGTTTTATGGAAATACAAAGCTATTGCTGAAGGCTTTTACTGCAACAACATGGAGGTGTTGGAACGAGTGTTTTGGGCCTTCAAGCCTTGCATCGATGGGTTTAAACATTGCATGTATGTTCTCTCTATCGATGGAACACACTTATATGGGAAATTTAAAGGCACACTTTTGGTTGCTACATGTGTTGATGCTATTTTTTAGGAGTTTCCTCTCACATTTGCAATAGTTGAAGGGGAAAACACCTTCAGTTGGTCTTGGTTTCTAAGCTACATTCGGGTTCATGTTATTGATCGAGATGACCTATAAGTTATATCTGACCGACATGCTGGGATTATTGCTGCAATGATTGACCCGAATATTTAATTTCATGAGCCACGGGCCTTTCACAGGTTTTGCGTTCGACACATGGCCTCTAACTTGAGGACTCATGTGAAGAACAACAACATGAGAGATATGTTCAAGGTTGTTGCTTACCAACACCAAGAAAAAAAATTGACTGATGATATGCGTTCTATCGGTGAATCTTGTGTCAAGTCCCTAGAGTACATTATGGACGTGCCACTTTGCAGGTGGTCCTTGTTTCAAGACGCTGGTCGTAGGTACGGAATATATACTACAAATTTCTCAGAAACATTTAACAATGTGTTGAAGGGAGCTCGTTTTCTGCCGATCATGTCCCTAGTCGAGTTAACTTTCCACAGAGTTAACAAGTATTTTAATTTAAGAAAGGATAGTTCACTTGCTAGGCGTGCCGACGAATATGCATACTCACCTAAGGTCACTTCCATTTTATGTTAATTGATCTAACAATGTAATTTTGTGGGTTGTACAGGTTGATCCAGCACGGTGCTTGCTCTGCAGGCACCACGTTGGCAGGATGGTGGAAGATTGGGTCGTCGACCCGCGTGTACTACATTACATCGATTTTGTGGGTTTTCGCGGATTTCATAGGATGGCCTTCACACCTATAGATCGAACGCTAATTACTGCGCTCGTTGAGTGATGGAGACAGGAGACTCACTTCTTCTATCTACTAGTTGGGGAGGCCACCGTCACGCTCCGAGATGTGGCGATACAGACACGACTCCCAATACATGGTAGGGCAGTGACAGGGCCCATTATACTGGACCCTCGTGGCCTTGTTGAGAGGGTGTTAGGGGTGAGGCATGAGGCCGCCGATATTAGAGGCACAGGACTGAGACACATGTGGTTACGAGAGACATTTGGGGTGTTGCCGCCTGATGCTGATGATGGAGTCGTCCAGAGATACGCTTGAGCGTACCCGTTCATGTTGATAGGATCGTTATTTAGTAACAAGAGTGGTAGTCACATACAGTTGATCTACCTACAACTGTTAGAGAACAACTGGGAGCGGATACGTGACTACAGCTGGGGTAGTGCGTGTCTAGCGACCTTGTATCGCCATCTTTGCAGAGCATCCCAACGAGATAGAAGGGAGATCGGAGGTCCTTGATTGTGCTTCGGGTATGCCATTTAATTTCATACCATTTTTTAACTATTACGTACTTAACGGTGACTAAACTTAACTTGTGTATTTTATTATAGTTATGAGCTTGGGAGCACATCCACATTGGTAGGCCAGCTAGGGATGCTAGCCGTCGATAGCAGGATGGCCAGGAGGAGGAAGACGATTAGGAGCATGCATATGAGGCTCCGCCACTCCCTCCACTAGACGTGGCATAACGTTGCAGATATGTATAATTGATTGTTAAGTTTTCCACATACAGCTTTATTTTGCTAATAATTTCTCATGAACGCTGTTATTATATATAATAAGGTGGCTGGTGCGGAGACTTACTCGTGTGCATGCAGCGAGGGGTCTACCGTATTACAGAGACGCATTCGATAGACCGAGCGAGTCTTAGGTGATCAATTACACTATAAAAACTAATTTAACACCCCGTTCATTGTTTCAATAAGTTAATTATGGTGTTACTGACGGTGTGTTAATGCAGATGACGTGGGATCCGTACGTCGCTGGCTTAGTCGATGCCATGCCCTCATATCTTCGAGATCGTCAGATGGAGTGGCGTGTTATGACAGTCATCATCTGTTTTGAGGTAGTCGATAGAGTCATGCGACAGTTTGGCCTTCATCAGGCCGTCCCCACCACGTGTGACACGAGTGTCCACTTACATAGGACAGACCGACGAGGAAAGGGGGATGTGAGTTGGGCAGTTCAGCATGCCCTTTTCATTGACATGTGGGATCAGCGGTTGCAGCACGTCGTGGATGGTGCGCCTTTCCAAGGCCGGATGGAGTATCACGATCCATACATGGTATGGTACAGGAGCATTACCCGACGCTTCATCAACCCTAACTACACCCCACCCTCAACTCATTATCAGCCAGCTTTTGGAGACATTAGTGGATAT